TTTGTAAAAGCTATTTTTGAAATTTTTTAGTGCAATTACTAATAATTTTCTTAATTAAACCTTTATAATAACTTTATCTTAATATATCATTGTAAAAATTAAAAAAAATTTTATATTCGATTCAATTCGATCAAATATTTGATTTGATTTGATTTGATTTGACAAATATTTGATTCAATTTGATTCGATTCAAATTGATTGGATCAAATATTTGAGTTCAATTCGATTTGATTTGATTTGATTTAAAAAAATTAAATCAAATTTAAATTGCTTAAATATTTGATTCGATTCGATTTTGAGGAACCCTAATTATAATAATAACTACAATTTAAAAAAAATAATTAAACAGAAATTTCAAAATGTATTAATTCTTTTATTTTAATTATAATATCTTTATATATATATCTTAATATTTGTAAAACTGTATTTTATTATTTTATATATATTTTTTTAATTCTGCATATAAACATATTTTTGAAATAAAAAAACTTATTAATAAATCTTATTCTTGAAGAATTAATATTTTATTATAATTAATTTCAGATGTCTAGAAAAATATTGCTTTATATGTTAAGAAAAAATTGAATTATTTTGTTTTAGAGATGCTGAATATCTTACACTTGAAATTCTTTTAAATGATATTATTCCTTTAATTTTAATATTTATGCAAAAATTTTTAGATTAAATAATTAGAAAATATAGATTAAGGCTTGTGTAAGAATATAGTATTAATTTGCATATTTTAAACAAAAAATATAATAAAATACTATTAATTTTACTTTAAAATATAAGAGCTTTGCAGTAAAAAAGAAAGAAATGTTAAAAAAATTTTTTTTTGAATTAATGATAAATCTAAACTTATTTAATTAAAAAAATTATAAAAAATTTTAAAATTTTTAAGTTACCTTCCTTTCTATTACAAAACTCCTATATTTAATATTAAAAAAGTATTAATCATTCTATTTTTTGATATTTAAAAAAGCATTTTGCAGTATTTAATAATTATTCTATAAAAAATTATCATTTATTAATTCAAAACAAATAAGAAAAACAAATACATATGAATAATTTTCAAAACAATTTATATTATAAACAATTTATTTTACAATACATTTATTATAGCAAGTAAGTATTCTTATGTAAAAATATTAATAGATTTAATTAATAAAGCATCTACTTTTCTTTTAGAATTATTTATAAAGGTTAAAAATAATGTTATAAAAACAAATAGATAAAAATTAATCAATATAATAAAATAAGATTTTATATTCTCATAATTCTTGATATGAATGTAAATGAATAACATTTACAAATGATTTTCAGTTTAGAATATTCACTATTTAATCCATTAATAAGTTGTCATCTTTAAAATCCTTGTCATATATTTTAATTAATATTTACTTTTTATATATTAATTTCTCTTTATATGATCATATTTATCATCAATATTATTTATAATATTTTGAGTATAAGTATTTATAGTTTAAATTTTATTAAAATAAATTAATAATAATATAAAATCTATTATTTATAGAATCACAGAAGAAAATTTTAAAATTGTAATTAATTAAGAAGATAAATACAATTAGATAATGATGAATTTAAAAAATTATCAAAACAATTATTATTTGATTCTAAAATTGTAAATCAATTTGAAATAGTACTTGAAAATTTTATGAAAAACTAATTATATTTTAATAATAAACATGTACAGTATAATTAATAATTATCATTGATATATTATTTAGTATAATAACTAATCTATTTAAAAAAATCATATTTTAATTTAATAATAAAAATTTGAACCAATCAAAATTAATCAACTTAGTGATAATTTATAAATGATCAACATAAAATTGACTAATTATACAAATATCTGATATGCTTGCAGAAAACCAAACCAAGTTTGTAAGAGACTACTGTCTAGCACTGCTTAAAGTACCTTGGATCTTTTACAATTTATCTGATTTAAAAATTGAATAGTATCCCTAACCTTAGAATATTTTGTAACAAGAATACAAATATTATATATAAAATACAGTTGAATCTTACTATAACAAATCTTTATTTCTAAAGATCATAATTTGTTATAATGAGAAAATTTGATAATATCTTACTGAATTTTAACAATTTATTCATTATATAGTAATACTAAATATCATATCCAAATTCAGTATATAATAAATAAGTTTGAAATAATGTAAAATAAATAAATAACCAATGAATTAAAGTTACAAAAGTATGCTTGTTCTTAGTTAGATATAGATTAATTTATAATTGTTAATCCTGAATACCACGAAAAAGTAGCAAATTTTATTCAAATTTTTTTTAACAGAATTCAAAAAAAAAATTTATAAAAAAAAACTAAGTGAAAAGGATAAGTGAAGATAATAAAATAGAAAGAGAAACTAGTTAAAATTATGAAGATGATAAAAAAGAGTGACAATAATTAAAAAGGAAAATAAGAAGTGAATTATTGAAGGTTTTAGATAATGTAAGTTGATTTGGTGATTGAGAGGAGTTGCTAAGAAAAGAAGTGATGATTTTAAAAAATACAAATTTATATTTATATTAAAATAATATAATATTAATATTAACTAAATAAATTTCTTATTTTGAGTTCTTTCAGCTAATTTTGCAAGCCTTCTTTCTTATATACATAATGCTAAAAAACATAAATATTGAATTTTAATAATAATTTTCTTTAATTAATATCAATTAAAAAGTTTTATTATACTAATCAGATCTTTTCTAAAATGGGGTTTTAAATTATTTATCAAATACTTCTTCAATATAAGTCTACTTTCCTTTTGAGTTCTCATTAATATATACTTTAAAATAACTAAATAATTAATTTATTAAAATATTATTGTAAATAAAATTAATATAAATATTATTATTTTTTCATTTATTAGTATTTTACTTATTTTACTTACTTTACAATCCCTAACCATCCCTTTAAATTTTTCTCTTGCTTGCAATTCATTAAATGCTATTATGAATTTTTCTTATATCATCATCACAATCTCATTTCAAAAAGATAACTTTAATTTTTTAAATCTTTTCCAATAATTATTGTTTCTTTCCATTCTTAAGTTAACCAAAAATTGTATCTTTTCATTAGACCATTCAATTGTGATTGGTATTTTGAAATTTATTATTTGTTGAGAAAGAAAAAATTTAAAAATTATCAATATATAGACACAAATCCAAATTCTCTTTTAGTACTTGATTCTTTTACAGCTTATAAAACTGATGCAGAAAAGATAGTCTTACGAAAAAAATACAGATTTGGCTATTATTCTGGGTGGATTAACTTATCATTTACAACCAATTGATGTATCATTAAATAAATCTTTTAAGTCTAAGGTAATTATTTTATTTTAGTTATTTAATTAAAATAAATTAACTTAACATTAAATCAAATAGGTGTGGCATTTTTATAATAACTGGATGAATGAAACTATTAAGGATTATACATTATCTGGAAGGATCAAACAACAATCTTACTCACTTGTAGCAAGTTGGATAAAAGAAAGTTGGGATTCAATTGATTCTAATATGATTAGGCATTCATTTAAATGTTGTAATATATCAAATTCTTTAGATGGAAAGGAGAATAATCTAATTTTTAATTTTGATAAAGTAGAAAAGGTAAATATTCAAGGAAGAGGAATTGAAGAAGATGAAGGTAATGAATTATAAATAAATAGCAAATACTGTATTACTCAAGAATAATATATTATTTATAGTAATTTATTAATTTATTAAATTTGCGATCTAATTTAAAAAACTAAAACTTTATGTAAAATATCCGGGTCTTATACAAAAATTGTGAAATTAAAGTTGTATTCTACCCGGATCTTTTAAAGTGGGATATGCTCAAAAGGGAGGCAGTGCTAGACGGTAATTTCAAATGGGTTCGCAGTAAAAATAATTTCTAGTTTTTTTATGTTGGTTCAATTTCCAATATTGATTCTTAAATATAATGATATGGAATTTATTTGGAGTGATAACGAAGACTTGTTTACAAAAATAAAATTATATTCTAGAGAAAACTGCGACTTCAGGTCTAGTTAGACTGGTATAATTTAGAGCTAACTTTTGCCATTCGGATTTCTTATTGTATGCAAATACAACAGATTAAAAAGAAATTTGTTAATTGAATTTTAATTTTTAATTGGTTGATAATTTGTGCAACAACTAGTTTTTTACTCTTTTTTAAAAAATAATCAAGCACATTTGAAGCAAATTAATTTACTGACGTACCCTTTCTCAAATTTCCACGCGTCGAAATGTCAGACCCATTATCCTCTACAGAAAATAAATCTGAAACACCAGTTCAAAATGTGGAATTTGATAAACATACGATTATACATAAATGCTCTTTACCTAAGGAAGTAAAGGAAGTGACTCAAAGCAACGGTGGGTTGTGCCTTTTCTGTCGCCCTTTTGTCGCGTCATTTCTTAGGGCATACTTGTTTGTTTGTTCGATAAGTCAGAGAAACTTTATTTTGTTCATCACTTGAGTTTTTATTAGAGATATTCGACGTTGTACTTAGTTGGAATACTGAACATGCAGCATTAGTGACTCAGACCCATTGTTTTGCATGGAGTTATAGCAGTGTCGAAAAGGTAAGTTGAGAGAGCCAAATGGTTATTTATTTGAATTAAGGTGAATATACGTAATTCATCTTTATTTTTTAGCAACCTTTCGATACTCCCGTATATAAGTTTAAAATGCCCATTTGTGATGATGATGATTTTTTGGATGATTTAAATAATCATCATCAATTACCATTAGTATGCATTATACCATCTAATCAAAGTCAAAGACCTGGGTTACTTGTTTGTTCTCGCAAAGGCGAATTTCGATATTGGGAAGACATAACTCGAGATAGTTTATTTGAAGATCATTATTTAAGTCTGAAGGTATATCTTAGAGAAGAAGATTTTGGAACACACTTGGCTTGTCATGAGGTACGAGATTTTATCATTCTTTCCTTGCATATAATTTATGTTAACCTCTCTTTTAAATGTTATTTATAGACTCATCAGTCTTCACAAGACACTTGTATTATAATTTTTGGTTCTTTACAATCTGTATTATATCGTATTAACATTTCCAAAATGGGAGCAAGTACTATACTTCATCCTACTTCACTATCACGATCTGTGGGAATCATGGAGAATTTTAGCTCATATCTTTGGTTAACCAGTAAATATGATACAGGAAACATTATCGCTTCAACGTTGGGAAATAGGCTTGAAAATAATTTGCTTAGGTCAGTTTAAAAATGATATATTAACTATTAATTTTGAATTTCTAAGTCTTTTTTTTTTCTCCTGATTCTAGTGAAATGTATGTACTAATGGACAAATCATTAGAGAAATGGGTTTTTGGAAATGTCCGTTCGGCAAATAAGGTTAACAATATTTATAAAATTATTTGTTAATAACTAATGCTCGTTAGAATTCAAATTCAAATTCAAATATCTTTATTTATAATATAAGTATATACAAGGACAAGATATATATAATAACATCATCCAAGAAATTTATTTGAATGATAGTAGAGTAAAAAAGACTGATCAAATGGACTTAAGCTTACTTGACATTGAATTTGCATGGTATAATGACTTAATTTTTAAAATAAAATAAACAAAATATAAGGAATTGAGATTAAAGATCAATCCTTTTAAATAAAATAGGAATGGCAAATTGGTTATTCTTGTTTCTTACTCTTTTGGGTCGAATCAAAATGAGATAGTAGAGAACAAAAATTTATCGTACTCTTTGGTGACATTAAGTACTGAAGAAATACAATATTCAGATGCTGTGATTTACAAAGTAAGCAGCATCCATGGTCTCGAAAACCAAAGTGTAAGTTAATTTTTAACTATTATTAGTTATATTTTTTTAAATATATAATATCGTATTCGATAATTGTTAATCGAATACCATTAAATTTATTAGAACTTTTCATTTGGATCACCAGCACATTTGATTATGCCTAACGGAGGTCCAGCTGTTTTTGTAGTTTTTCCGCAGTTAATTATAATGACAACAATATTCAAAGGTAAGGGTTTATGGTTTTCAAGGTACTTATTGCATTATAATTATTAATACTATTTAAAATTATAATACAGATGTTAGCTATAATGGTATAGTGAGCATGTCAGATCCAGTCGGTGATCGAATCATTGGATGTTGTGGCGAAGGATCCAAGTCTTGGCATAATAAAAATATCGATTCCGTTAGTCGAATAGATCTATTAACGGCAAAAACTGGTATTATGACATGTGTATTAAATCATGCGATGATAGTGGAAAAGAACCCTCACACTCAGTAAGTTTAATTGACTTTTAAATAATAGTCATATATAGTTAATCTTATCAAAATATTTTATAGAATGTTTGATGATCAAATGAATCTCGATAAACCGGAGGTGTGGATTACTCATGCTATTCTGAACTTTCTCATTCACCCAAATTAAAATTTACTGTATATAATTTTTTTTCTAGGAAATGAAGACCCGAGAATTAAAAAGAATGTTCGAGCAAGCAATATTTAACACAAGTGACAAGGTAATTCAGTTCATTAAAATTATTAAATAAATATTTAAAGCTTTATTATATGTATTTTATTTAAATCATGTAATACCGATGATACATTATGCCTGAATTTATTGATTTAGGTGCCGGTGACAAATTATATCTCCCGTGGACATGGTGGCGATATCAATGCTGTGACTCTCGAAATTAGCGATGAAATTATGGATTCACGTAAGTTGGACATGATTTATATAAATGAATTATCCTTTGTTTATAATACATTTTCTCATAATTATATCGGTATTTAAGGTTCACAATATTTGACCGAATTCATTGAACTTAAATCACAAATTAATGAAAGATTTAACAAAATGGCCTTCCTTGTTCAAGTAATCAAATTTAGCAATATGCTTAATGAAGTAATCGTCTTTAATATATATTATTTATTATTATTATGATTATTATTTTGGAGAATCTATTTAATTTAAATTTTCGTCTTATTTTCGCGATTAGCTATATCCTTCTACTCGTCAACATTTATTTTGGAATGCCGAAAAAATGGCATGTGCTTTAAAATTATGGGAGTATTATAATGCCTCCTTATCTTCGTACGTAAATAATTTATTAATAATTAAATTTTTGGTATCGTCAGTTAAGTCCTTTCTTCTTTCATCATAAATACTAGAAAAAACAAAACCGATGAGTCTCGACGTAAATTACTTTTTAACGCGATTCGAGAATATTTACAAGAACGTAAAATTGAGATCAAACCTAACGAAGATATTGCCAGATTTTTCTTTCGTTTTCACGCAAGTATTATTCATTTCATTAATGAATTGTAAATATATATCTTGAGATATATTGAAATAGATCTTTTTAATTAATTTTAGGTACGGGATATTGGTTATATTTTCGCTTACATTGAGCGAGAAATTAGCAAATGTCTTTTACAAGAGGACAGTAGTATATTAGTTCCTGAAGCCAATAATATTATCTTGGTAACAATTTTAATAAATTACGTTTGTTGTTTTGTTAAGGATGTTAAGATGAAAAGTCAATAACGTTTTTCAGCATCTTTTTTTTTATTTAGCTTTCATTCGAAGCAGCTTTTAACTTTAGAAGAAATAATAAGGACTTATATGTCATCACTTCAAATTGTTTGAAGGAATCTTGGACTTGTTAGTAATGCTTTATTGATTTTTGAAGCCAAATAACAACTACATATTATAATAATTTTTCTAATTTTATATTGGTTAGTTCACCCTGAACTTCTGAAAGTACTTCACCAGCAATTCGTAAAAACTACAGATATCATTCAAAGTTCGGATATTCAAGGTGATTGTGAGAAAATTGAATCTTTAAAAGATCATTTGGTTAATTTGGCCGATATTCTGCTAGGGGCCACATCTGAACGTTTAAATTGGTAAGTTAATTAAATTTAAATGTTTCGTAGTTTATTACATTTCTAATGGTGTAATCTCATACTTTTAAAGTGACGATTCGATAACTAGGGAAAGTGCACAAAAATATCGTAATGAATGGACTACTATATTAAAAAGTCTTGGTATGCGATTTATATCTTTTTATTACACGATACATTTGTAACAGGATACATTTATTGATAAAACTTCCGATCTTTAGTTGATGTTGGCAAAAGTGATAGCGCTTTAAGTCTTAGTGAAACTTACGAAGAATATAAAATCTTAGTGGATTTGATCATGTATCACGGTCAAGGTATAAACAAGTATATAAAAAAATATATCATAAAATATCAAGAAAAGTTTGAATATCCATTATATGAGTGGTATATCGAAAGAGGTTGGTAGAATTATTTGAAAATGCATCATTTATGAATCAAAAACTTCATTTAACTATGTGAATTGTAATAATAGAGCTATACGCCGATTTATTAAGCCAACCTCATGCTTATGAATACAAAGACAGTCTTCAAAAATTTTTGAATGAGCGTAATTTAAAAGGTATTTCTTGGACGCATGATATATATTTAAGTCAATACGGCGATGCTTCTATCAAGTTGCGTCAATTAGCGAAGGGCCAACCTCGAGTAGATCGAAGTAAGGTAAAAAAAAAAAAAGGTTACATAATAAGTTATATTATATAGATTTATTATCTGAATTGCTATCTTTTTTAAAGACCTTTCTTAGTATAAGCAAGCTAACTTTTTTGGCTGAACTTGGCGATGAAATAGACTTTAAAAATGAAGACGTACAAAGAAATTTGGAAGGTAAAAGTAATAATAATTCTTATAATTCGTTATGGTTGTATTATGTAATGGATGTTAATAATTACTGCATTTGAATGTCCGATACTTTCATTATTAGAAATTGAAAACGGGTTTGAACTTTTAAATGCTTATTCCGATTTACAAGATCAATTTGTTAAGTTTATAGTTACACAAAGCCAGCATTATTCTAAAGAATCGGAACAAGTAGATGCGATTATGGAAGGGACCGCGGGGAGCTGGAAAAATTATAAGCCAGGTTTAGCACAGGTTAATGTTAATAACAAATGCATTTTAATATTTTATTAAGGACCAATTGGATGATGTATTTATTTATAATTCGATTTTTCAGATTTACAAAATGCAAGTAACTAAAATTTTACAGGGGGAAAAGGTTTCAACAAGTGGATTGGTTGAAGTTTTGACACTTAAAGATAAAAAACTGTCCGATGACTTTCCATTCGCACTTCAATTTACACTGAATGACAATAAGGTTTAGTATTAATAGATTTCATTTACCTCTTTATTTAAATTTATCTTACTTTTCCTTATAATGTATATAGCTACCTGAGGACCATCGTCGTGCAATATTGCAAACAATATGGCGGAGAATTTACTTTAATGACAAGTATGAATAGAAAAAATTTATCACATATTTATCTTGATGATTGATTAACTATTTTATTAATTGTGGGTATGATAAATAGTTGGGAAATTTTATTAGATACCAGTGATATGTCCGATGAAGAAGTGAATGAACGCATTAAAAGTACTTATGTTTATCATGCGTTGAATATTGTGAGCCATTCTGTTGGTATGTCAACTTTTAATTTAACTCTTGGTTATGGCTAAGTTATTTATTTAACTAGTTAAATTTTTTTTTGTTTGTTATTTGATAGATATTCCATTATTACAATGGTTTTATCCTCCCGGTGAAGCCTTTTTCTCAAGCACAGTCGAACAATTTCATAGATGGTTTCCATTCATGAATGAAGAAGAAATAAAATGTTTAATAGAAGATTACAGGAAAGAGAATGATACATTGAACCAATTTATTGAAAAATATCACTTGAATACTTATGTAGATTACGCACTTAAATTGTTATAAATATAACAATATTTTGTTTATATTTGAAGCAAATGTTACGTCAAAATTTGTTTTTTTTTTTTAATAACATAAATTTACATTTACGCAAAAATTTTATAATGAATTGCTGGAATTTACATCAGCATGTGATATAAAAAATATCCCTTCTTTGTTCGGATTATACCTTTTTGGATTTATTTAATTTAATTAGGAAGAAATTTATATATTAAAAGTATTTCTTGGGATAATTTATAGAATAATTTAAAATGTCACACAAATAAATAACGATAATCAGATTTATTATTCGAGAGAAATCAACGATAAAATAAATTATGGCTTCAATATTACCAAAACCAAATAAAACGCGTTTAGCACAATTAGCGGAATTATCAGCAAAAATTTTTAATAATGTATATAATCCAAAGGGGGAAAGAACAGGAAATAAAATACTTCGTCAGAAACTTATAGGTCCTACAGTAGTTGATTGGTATCCGAAAAGAATAATAACTTTACGTAAAATTACTGATATGTTTCCAAGAATGGAATTAGTTAATCAAGAAGAAAAATTACGGTTAGAAGAAATTGCTAAAAGAAAGAAACGTGGTAAAGGTGCACCAAAAAAAGGTAGGTTTATTTTTTCTTGCAAACGTTATATTCGATTCTTTCGTCAAATTTTAATACAATTATAAAACCCATAGGTCAACGAAAGAATGCTTCTCTTGCAAAAAAGAAAAAATAAATTCTAATAATTTTTTTTACAAATACATTTTATTCGAAGTTTATATAATATTTAAATTAAACCATTTCATTACGTACATTATGTTCTTTGCAAAAGTTAATTAATTAAAAATAGAATTAAATTTCTCATAATTAATTATTTTGTTATTTGAGTTGATCCTCTCTTTGTAGAATTTCTTTATCCAATTGAATAAATATAGTAGTACGTAAAGGGAAGCCATCAATTGGTAAAGAATGAGCAGTAACTCGAGAAGGCTAAATTCGAACAAAAAATCATTAAATTATCTTTTTTTGAAGAAAATTATCAAGAGATTTAATTAATTAACTTACGAATTGAGATCCATCCAAAATTGCTTCAACAATTCCTGCTAAAAACGAATTACAATTCAATTCAGATAATTCTTTTGGTACCGAAATATATTTACTTATCAAAGGATCATTATCTGAAATCATGTCTGATTTCCTAATTATTAAAGACATTATTATTATTATTATTATTATTATTATGAGTTCAGAATCAATAATATCAAAGGATACATTCGTTTTCATTCTCCGTGCTCTTTTCTAAAGTATCGGCTTGTTTACCAAAGAGTGTTTTCCAAACCGTAGTATGAATAAAATATAATATGCCTAAAACACGCGTCTCTCTCTTACTATTTTTATCTCTCCAAACAATCAATTCTAAAAGACGAGTTCCTACTCGATATCCCAAATCATTTAATCTATAAATAAATCAGAATTAATATGAAATATAATAATTAATATATCAAAACATAACTTTTTAAAACTTTTTGAAACTAACTTGCGTTCAAGATCTTGAATTCCGTGTACTCTCCTTTGAGCATATTGTAACATTTCTGAAAAAAGAAATGCAAAAGCTCCAAGTCCAACCTACGGCATCAAGGCCTATTAGTTAAATTTCGATATTTCGAAGGAAATGTGAATCGATTATACCTCTGTCCCTCTCGTTTTATTCAAATTCCTATCTATAATCGAAACACGCTTAATTAAGCGTGTATCGGTTGAAGAAGAAAGTACTGACGATATTCGGGATGTTGTTTGAGACATTGAAGAATTTAAAGTTTAGATAAAAAAGTCACGTAAGTTTGACCAAAATTTTTGTGAAACCCTAGACATAACATCATCATTTGATAATAAATTAATGGTTATTTAACTTTTTCTCGGAATTTTTTATTTCAATCATGTTTTTAAAAAAGGCAATTAATTTTTCGCACGTTTCTTCTTACAAAGTTCTATCACAATATAGATTTCTATCTACATATGTATCTCCTAAAGTAAGAGCGGTTGTTTTTGAAAGATATGGAATTCCAAAGGATGTTCTTAGGTAAATAATATAAGATAAAATTACAATTTCATTGAATATAATAATACATATATATCTATATTAAATTATAGAGTTCATACACATGAATTACCACCTTTAACACCCACGACCTTGCATATACATTTTCTCGCTTCACCCATTAATCCATCTGATATTAATCAAATCGAAGGCGTTTACCCATTGAGACCTACATTCACAAAAGAATTAGGTGTTTTATCTGATGGAGAACATAAAGAATTGGCCGTTGGTGGAAATGAAGGTGTGGCAGAAGTGATTGCTGTTGGAGATCAGATTAAAGATTTAAAAGTTGGTGATTGGGTTGTAATTGGAAGATCTGGATTCGGTAAGGTTCTTAAGTTTTAAAATGTATTGATATTTAAAAGAATAATAAAATTCAAAAATTAATAATACTGCAGGTACTTGGCGTACACATGCCGCAGCAACTCCAAATGATGTGACACGTATCGATAATAAGGGAATTGGATTAATTCAGGCTGCAACTATGACAGTGAATGCTTGTACCGCATTTCGCTTGTTAAAAGACTTTGTTACATTAAAGGAAGGTAATTCAACCCACTTATTACATTTCTGTTATTTATAATAGAAATCATATATATCGAATTAATCAACTTTAAAACTTTGATAGGGGATTTTGTGATTCAGAATGGGGCTAATAGCGGTGTTGGACAATCTGTGATTCAAATTGCTAATGCATGGAATATAAATACGATCAACATTGTTCGAAATAGGTAATAAAGGATCGTTTATATCTTTTGAAACATTATGTAAAACAAACGAAAATTAAAAATTTTCATAATTTCTACAAAAGACCTGACATTGATGATTTAAAAGCGCGTCTAAAATCGCTTGGCGCGACACATGTAGTTACCGATGAAGAATTAGGATGTTATAAAACTAAAGAATTGATAAAGGAATGGACAAGTATTAACAATAATGTAGGGGTTAAATTAGGCCTTAACTGCGTTGGTGGAAAAGTATCAACAGAAATGGCAAAATATTTATGGTAAATTTTCTTTATTCTTACAAAAGTGCATTATAATTACAATTTACAAAAATTTACAAAAATCATAAATTAATTCGTTTTTTTCTTTTTCTTTTTAGTCGTTCCGGATATCATATAACATACGGAGCCATGTCAAGGCAACCAATTACAATTCCAGCATCACTTTTAATATTTAAAAATATAAAATTTCTTGGATATTGGATGTCAAAATGGAATCAAGTTCATTCAAAGGAAGAAAGAATTGAAATGTTGAATGAAGTTATTGGATTAATTAGACAAGGAAAGTTGGGCGATATTGCTCATGACGAGGTTATTTGGGGAAATTCAAATGAAAATGATGAATCTTTGAAAATCAAATTTTTGGATGTTTTAGATAAAGCTAATACGGGATTTCATGGCAAAAAGCAGATCTTAAAAATTCAGCTTTAAGAGATAGGTAAGCAATGTTAAGTATTTTGATTTCTTGTTTTGCAAATTAAAGGGTTTAATTTTTTTTTTAAAAAAAAAAGAGAACTAAATCCGTTGTTATAATCAACCAGTTATTTGGTATTAAAAATATTGTAAACAAACCAAATTTGATATTAAAAAAAAAGCTAATAAAATATATACATAATATTAAACTTTTCATCCTCTTATGAAGAATAAAAAACTCAAATTGAGTTTTTTTTTTAGAGAAACAAAAAAAATATATATAATAGATCATTTTACGTTAAAACTTCATCAACCTTTTCACGATGAATAGCAAATGAAGGAGTTACCCATGAACCACAAGAACATTGCATTCCTATGAAGTTATTCCAAAAATAATATTATCAAAATTAATTTATTTTTAAATAAAATACTTTTTTTAACATACTTACCAGCCCAACTAAAGTTTCCTAATTTTGCTTGGCATTTTGGACATTTTATTTTTCCTTCTAATTCACCTTCTTGTACTTCGTCCAATATCCAACCCAATGGCTCAACGAAATACGAAGAACATTTAATTGAAGATGACGAATCACGTTTTTTAAATGTAAATGCCGTTTGACCTTGTCCTTTATTATGATCAACGAAATCTTCTGTCGATATTATTGTTCGTCTGAATTTTTTTTTTTTTTTAAAAAAAATTATTTTAAAAAAAAAAGAGATCATGTAACTTATACAATTACCTGCATCTTTTACATTTTAAAGCCGATAAATTCAACTTTTGTGGTTCAGGTACTCTTAATTCATTTATATGATTTATAATTTCTATTTGCGCTTGACTAAGTGGTATAGTATCTACTTAAATGAAAAAAAAAAAAACAATTTAAACTTTTTTCATTATTTATTAATGGCAAAATAAAATAAAAATAAAAAACCTTCGATGTCTGTCATGGTCATTATAACAAATCAAAAATTCTAATGATAAAAGGTTTATATAGATTTAGGTCAAGGAATATGCTGCGCCATAGAATGTTTAATTTTTACCAGTATCGCCACAAGATTTTTCATCCCCACGTGATTTAGTAAATATTTGTCACACTATGTCGCACCCTTCTACTTTTCCAAAGTATTCACATTATTTGTCACATGGTTAATTTTTTAATGCCGTAATGCCGGCCAAAGTCAAAAATCTTGTGGGTTAAATAGTATATCATATCGCATCGCGCATTTTTTAAAATCTTTAAAAAAAAATCAACAATCCCATACATTATCTATCATAAGTTGAATCCTTATAATATTGGTTTTTAATATTACCATATACTTCCGAAATTAAGCATCCTAAATTTATTAATATGCTAAAAATAAGCACCCCTCGAAAAAACTAAAAATTGATTTTTTCATTTTTAAAGTATTATCATGTAATATTAATGGTTCAATAAAAATACAATTTTATTTATTCATTTATATCATTATTAACATTAATTATCTTTCAAATTATCATTACTCGCATCATTCTTCAAATTGTCATCGCTAATATCATTCCAAATCACTCATATCAATAATTTCTAAATTACCTTCAATTTCTTTATCAGAATCCTTTATATCATCTAATGTATTGGAAATGCCACAAGTCTTAAAAGAATCTATGATGATAAACTTGTCAATCTATTTGGTATAATAGCTAAATCAAATCCGCAATTGTGAAATTTCTGTTTTACTAATTTCTTCAAATATTTATGAAAAGAATTATAAACTATTAACATTGAAATCCTGGATCTGTCAATCACTTTGATAATTAACATACTATTTCATCAATTCAGAATCCATTTAATTATTTGTTTGAAACCAAATAATTATGTTAGAAGTTTTTTGGTAATTGCTTTCCTTTAAAAATACAAATCAGAAGAAGCTTTGTGCTATCTATAATAAAAAAAAGAATTTAATGTTAAATAAAATAAAATAAAAAATTTGAAAATCAAAAATAACTTTGAAAATCAAATGAATTGTTAAAATCAAAAAAAAATGTTTGAAATATTTTCAAATAAATCAAACTCTTTATGATTAAAAATCAGAATTATAAGACTAAAAGTTAGAACGATAAATCTAAAAAATCAGAAATATAAGCCTAAAAAATCATAAATATAAACCTAAAATCATCATAAGTTTGAAAATCAGAACTACAAGCTTAAAATTGATAAAAATTGATATGGATCTATAATAGAATTTAAAATTAAAATCATACAATCTTAAAAATGATATTAAAGCTTAAAATCAGAATAATAAAAAATTAGCTTAAAATAGAATTTGTTAAATTTAATTTTTATATAATAAACTTAAAAACCATTTACTATAAACTACCTGTGTCATACATTAAAACTATTGTAAATCATTTTTATCATTGCTAGTATTGGAATTTGAACTGTTTTATCCTAGATTAATAGTAAAATTACCCATCATTTTAAATCATACCAGTATTTTATTCATATTAAAAATATTGTGTAATTCAAAAGATTTTTCAGTTCTCAGATGAATAATAAATTGATAGAATTTGACTAACAATTTTTACATTTGATTCGAAAGCTTTTCAATATTTGTACATCTTCTCTAAGATAGTTTATATCTTTTGATAAAATAGGATAGTTATTAATCTGATATTTTAAAATTTTTTGCCAAAACTCTATACAAATCTACTATTTTAGGCATCTTTATAATTTCTTGCATTCTTAACTCGTAAGATTGTATAGATAACTGTTAATTCTTATTTTCTTTACTCAATAATCTAAGCATATAACTTACCTTTAGCCTCAAGATAAAAAGCTTTTTGACCTGAGCCAATTTGTTTACTGTCTTAGTTTATTTCAGTATTTCAACTTTTACTTGCTTTTAGCCAATGACTTATCATACTAACATCAAGTTGAAAACAGTTTACTGCTTTGTTTCATCTATGTTACTTAGTATAAATGATTACTTGATTCTTTTAGTAATAGAATATAAAGTACAATTACATTTAATATGTTTATTAATTTTGTGTATTCTTATCATTTTTCATTAGAAGGTTAAAAATAATTTTAAAATGCGTTTTATATAATGAAATAAATTATTTGGTTATATAAAATCATTTAATTACACAGGATCATCATTTTATGTAATTTCAAATATCATTTTTGCGATACAATTTTGAAAATAATTTTTTTTAAAAAAACCATTCAAAATTAAGTATTCCTATAATAAAAAAGGAATGCATAATTTTAGAAGTATACGATATGTATGTTGATACATACTTCTTATTTGTAATTTAATATTAGTGATCATATCATATTTAGCAAATATAAATATTAGGAAATCTTTTTAAAATTAAGATGAACATCTGTTATATGCAAAATATATTGTTGAAACTACATGTTATTCTTATATACTTTGTGATTAATAAGCTGATTGATTCTAAAATTGGGAAATTTTATTGAGAAAGTTGTATTCATCAACCCTTTGTTATCAAAGTAAATTATCATAGATCTAATAAAATTAATATAATAGATATTAATACTTTTAAACATATCATTCTTAGTAAAGTAGTTGTTAATGGTCTTAATTAAAGATGAGAATCATAATTAATATGTTGCAACTTTTAATGTTGTAACAATACATGAAGTCGAAATGAAAATCCAAAAGTTGAAATGTTTTGACTTTAGAAATCAAAGTCGAAATAAAAAGTCGAAATGGTCAAAATTACGTCATATCACATGATTTTTATATATAGAAAAAACAAAAAAAACAAAAGATGTACGATCTCAGTCAATATCGCACCGATTCGTATGATACAACTACCATTCGATTCCTCGCGACTAGACGAATCCAATGAGCTAACATTCATTGAATTTGGATCATCCCATCTCGAGATATTTGCAATCGTATTTCGAAATCTGGACTCCTTTATTTAAAGTAGAATTTATGGATTAATAATTTCAGCTGATAATACAATTGTGAGTATCTTGTGATTGGATGATCCAAAATCAATGAATGTTAGTCATTTGATCTGCCTAGTTTAGAGGAATCGAATGATAATTGTTTCATACGAATCAGAGTGATATTGACCGAGATCGTACATTTTTTGTTTATTGTTTTTTCTCAATATGAAAAATCATGTGATATGATGTCATTTTGACTATTTCACGACTTTAGCCTTCAATGGTCAAAATGATTACGACTATTTTGACCATTTCGGATATCCGAAAGCATGGATGAAATTCACAGATAATATGCTTTGGGGTGGGTACCCAACTTTTTCTGGATCAGATATTAATATCAATTCCTCTCTTATAAATCCTCACTTTGGAGAATATACTCCGTTATCAATATAATAAAGCACAGATTCATTTTTAAATACTACTATTTTCAGACTTTATGAAAACTTAGTGATTATATAAGATTAATTATACATTTCTGATTCTTCATGTTCCTTTCCATTTCATATTAGCAAGAAGATAACTAATAGTATCACCTTTCTTTAAGGTTTCTTCATTCTCTCTGATAGGACGCTTGGATTTTATAGATGGTCTAGACTCGATCTTCTCTAATAAAATGGCCACTGAAAACGCTAATCCTCATTTTAAAGAATCTGGTTCTCGAATGAGACGTGTGGGATAGTTATTCAGGTAATTAATAGCTTTCAGCAAATGCCTAATCCATGCTCTTATTTGTCTTGAATCAGAAGATATAGACTCAACAGCGTACTGAATCTTATATAGAATTTTTGAGAGTGTCTGATTGAAACGCTCTACAATTGCAGTTTCACGATGACTATATAGGCCAATTACTCAAATTATTACATTATGCTCTTGCATTAGACAGAAAGTTTCTCCTATCTATTCTCTTCCATTGTCACATTGTAGAAGCTTTGACTATGTCAATGGATTATTTTGATTCTCATATATTCTTCTAAACATCTTAGCAACTTCATAGACACTCTTTGACCTAAGTAGAACTGAAGTTTTAAATCTTGAGATGCAGTTTACTATATTAAG